TTTATTTGTGAGCATGAAATAATTGAAAACAAAAATAAATGATGTTTTATTTATCAAGTTCAAAATATTTACATTACATAATTAGAAGTGTCCAATGAATAAAAATAAATAAATTGCCGACATCCATGTAGTGGACTCTCTCAGTGACAAAGAAAAGTGTTACAAACATGGCCAGCTAACTACAAGTATGGGGCATCCAGTGAGGATTGAACTCACAGCAATTGTAATGGGCTGTTAGCCTAGATTTCCAACCTTTGTACTATGGCAAGACATTGAAATTTATTTAAGCTTTGTTATAAAGCCATAACTATGAGGCACCCCCATGTTACTGACTTTTTTTCCAGCCTTCACACTGACATCAAAGTCTAGTATAAACTAGTTCAGCTGCTTTTTTTTTTTTTCTTAGTTATGTTTTAATATTACCACTTTATGGTAATGTTTTTGTATTACCTTTTTTTTTCTGTTAATTTTTCTGTTTGTTTTAACATGTCCATTTTTATTGTTTTAATTAGATTTCTTTTTTCTAAGTTATTGATTCTTCACAAGAAGTTGTGAATCTTTTCATTGTTCTTATTTTGCAGGCTGTGAAGCAAATGGGTCAATGTTTATTTGACTTTCTTTGGGGTTTACGCTACCATCAAGAAAGGTTTGTTTCTTCATCTAATTGTGTTATACAGCTTTTGTAAAACTTTTAGATATTTCAGCACAAGACTAAATGAGAAGAATTGGGTAGAAAAATTGGGTGTTACACCAAACTTTAAAAAAAAAAAAATCACCTTCTAAAAGACTGGTTTTTACCTGAATTTGAATACAAACCACTTGCAAATATCTCACCTCCCAGGTAGGCTCTTTAGAAGAGCAAATAGTTTCACCATGACCTGAAAACTGAAAGATTTTGTTTTGAATTCATTATGGCTTTTTAACTCTTGATAATCATTTCAAAATACAGTCCTTCCTTATCCAGACTTTGAATATCCAGACATGAATGAAGAGAAAAATTGAAACACATCACAAGTAAACTTTTTCCATTTTGTCATAAAATTTACCCAATACTGTTCTTGATATATAAAAATATATATCGTTATCTCATATAACCTGCAGCGGGTTGTTTTGGGGCCTTGTGACACATTGTGCACCAGTTCTCCGTATTTGCCCCTTCTAAAAAGGGTGGCTGGTTCTGCACAAGCCTTCTTCACTATAAACAAATGATTTTTGTGGGTAGTCTGGCTGTATGGTTCTAGGAACTGAGTTGCTTGAACCTCATACATCAAAATCAACACAGGAGTATATATATATATATATGTATATATATATATATGTGTGTGTGTGTGTTCAGCCAAAGCAAGGCTCAAGTGTCACTCAAGCTAGAGGGTTACTGTGTTGAGTTGCATTAGTGTAAGAAAGGGCAAGATGTGAAGTTCATGCAGGAAAGGTAATGGCTAACTGTCAACTTGAAGAGGTCAAAATTTAATTAGTGAATAACATTTCAGAGATGTTAGGGATATAGTATTGAATTAGACTTTAGAAGGAACCGGGAAGCCAATCCTAAAGAGGAAAAAGGAGATAAACTTCTAATCCTGTACAGAAAACTATATATACTAGTTCTATTCTGTCAGTAATACTTGCATTCATTTCTGATCACTGACAATTTCTTGCTTCTTGATTTTTCAATGCACAAATATTGTGTGTCAAAATTTACCAAAATAAATTTTAAGTCAAAAACTGCAAATAGGGATGAATTTAACTATGCATGAATGTTACTGCAATATATTTATTTATAGTTCCATGAATGATTTTTCATTTTCTTTACATCAAGACCAGCAGACACCAGGGGGGGTATTACAAATTTTTCTCTAAGGCAGGAGTTAAAAAAAAAAATTTTTTAAAATTAGAGTTTTCTCTCTATCCTCTAGGGAGATTTCTGTTTATTTTGAGTAAGTTTTCTAGCAAAACTAAGATAAGTATTAAATGACAGCCTTTTTAAATTCACATGCTCACTGTATCTAGTCAGAGACTAAAAAATCTTCTTAAAGCAATAAAAAAAATTGACATTTGCTTACTTTCTAATCTTTGTGTGGCACTACATGTGGAATCATTTGTACAAATGATTCTTTCACATATTTATATAATTAACCCTCCCCATGGTATCATGGTTTATATAACTTTTGTATATAATACATAAAAAGTTAATGGTCAGTTGAATCAGAGCAAGAAACAGCAGTATTAAAAAGTACTCAATGCGTGTGTGAAAAAATAAAATAAAAGTAAAAATAACATGTAGAGCTTTTAACTTTAAAAATCAGGAGATCAGTTGAATCTGCTACCTTTGGTTTCAACCTTAGGGTATCCTCAGGCAATTTTTATCAAATGACCTCTTAATGTTTTATTTTTATAAAAAAAACTAAAGAATGCTATATTATTTTTAAGAACTAAATAAACAAACACATGATGTTGGGTGTGATAGAAAGGGGGGAAGAGGAGGATGTGAAGAAGGAAGAAGAAAAGGTAAGAAAAGAAAAGCAAAATGTATCAGTTTGGGGTTAATTGAAATGTACATTATCTTTTTTTTTTATCCAGAAATCAATCCAAAGTCTATCTTTGCTTACATATTAGAAAATTCAAGCACATATGAGGCTAGATAAAAAAAAAAAAGTAATCTACATTTCAATTCAACCCCCACCCCTACTGATACACTTACAGTACCCTCATATATATATATATATATATATATATATATGATTAGGTAGTGATATAGATTTTTATTTGTGAGTGAAACAAAAGATTGTTACTTACTACTTCAAGTAGAGAGTGTTGCCATATTTGATAAGAAAGCAGTCACTGCTTTTAACTTACATTTTTATGGAAGAGCAAAGAAGCTGGTGAGCCTGTAGTTGTTTGTAATTGGAATATAAAGACCTGAAAAGTTGCAGTGGGTTAGGAGAGCCTTACACTATGAGAACAGTTATAGCTGACAGATGGCACACAAGCCGATATCCGATCAGTATGAACTGGGTCACTATGGAGAAGAGGTATGATATTGTAAGATCTAAAACCCATAGCTAAAAATATCCCTGATGTGTGCCAAAGTTGCACATGAAACAGACTGTCACCACTGGGTGTTGAACTCAATGTCCACTTTTATACTTACATATGCTCTATCACTGATATTGAGTACTTTGTCCCATAAATAGAGCTTAAAACTATATTTTTGTCATTTTTTTTTTTTCAAACATGTTTGGGTGAATAATTTTGACAAGTTCTCTTTACTAAATTTTTTATTAATTTTTTTCCAATTTCTGAATTAGTTGATTTTTGTTATTAGTAAATTTGCCAAAGTACATATTTATTTTATATTATTTTTTTTCTGATACATTCATTTACAAGGATTATGTTTTGAGTATGCAATTGTTTTTTGTTAATTCTTTCATTCTTACATTTGATGAAACCAATTTCAAGTTACTCAAGGTAATGTCATTTAAATGGTCAGACTGGAACTTTTTTTTAAACACACTTCAATATACAATCTCGTATAGAGAAAGATACCTTATTTAAAGTTAGCTGTTTCTCTTTTATTACAACAGCCTCCAGAATTTTGAGCCTTTCTTTGCAACTGTGTCTGATATAAAATTTTGTTGTTATTCAGTAAAATTTGCCTAATGTTAATATTATTTTGCTTCTTTATGTTCATCTATATATGTGCAAATTGCACTAAATTTTGACAAATGACTTCCCTTTTGTTTTTATTCACACACACACACACAGTCATATTGGTAGCAATCCCTCTTTTATACAACAAAACTTGAATAAACGAGAGATTGCTGCCTAAATACCTAATTATTAAATTACATGACCTGGCAGCCACTAAGGAAAGTAACACTACAACATTCAGAAAAAAAAAAATCTTATTTCAAGCACAGTACCTTCTCAATCATTTTAATAATAAATATATATATATATATATATATATATATATATATATGTATATATTTTATTCCCTCTACCCCACCTGATAAATAAATGGACTGATCCACTATCATTACAATATGTTATAAATATCAATATTTAAATTATGCCACAGCCATTTTTCAATTGGCACCTGACGATTGCCTTGTGCATGAAACTCAGAATTATGCTACTGGTTAAGGGGAAAAAAATGTATATTTACTATTAATATAAATTCTAGCTCTGTTATTATACATTGAGCACTATTTTATTAACACCAGTCCTCCATGTGCAAAATTTTTATATATTTTCCTTTTTCTTGATTTAGTTCCGTTTGTCAAGCATTGCTGTTTGGTGTATCCATGGTTTATTTATCTGTACCTTCCCATATTCTGTTGGGAGAAATGCAACAAGACACAATGGAATTTAAGGAATGGTTGCAAGGTGGGTGAAAAATTATTTTTCAATTAAATTTATTGCATTAAGAAAATATAACCTTAATCAAAACTGCATTGTTTAAGTTGAAATTATGGCCAGCCCTAAAATGATGAACATTATGTTCATAGAATAAATAAAGTCCCCAGCTGTTTGTCTTATGTATTTCTAGGTTTCATCTTTAATAGTACAAATAAACTCAGTAAAACTAGACACATGATAGTAGGCATCCATTTATCTCGCAAGGCAAAGGTAGCACCTTGTTTGGTTAAAATTCAGTCCTTTGGTGGTGAAGCTAGAGTAACTTCTCCAGGGTGCTGGCCTGGGTGATGGTATTTGAGATGCATACCACAGAAAAGGCACATGATACAAACTACAAATTCAATAATGACAGCGATTAAAAAGAATTTATATACAAGATATAAAAAGTGTTGCAACCACTTAAAAAAAACGGTAACAGATTGAATTAACACAAAACAAAATAACAACATTTAATTTGAAGTAAGAATTTATAAAATACATGACAAGAAATGTCCCCAAAAACATAAATGAAACATACTTGACACATAAGTACTCAAATTCTATCTGTGCTCTCTACCTGCAGATTAGTATAGTATATGTGCACTCTACTGGAAGATTAGTATAGTATCTGTGTACTCTGCATAACTTAATATAGCTACTGTTCAAACAGTAGCATGTTGGTCTAATTGATATGTCACATGCCTGCTTGCCTACAAGTGAAATGTTTGAATCAAAGCTGGAGTCATCTCTTAATTTTACATATTTGTGTTACTTTAATATAGGTACCTCCACAAAAAATGCAATACCTAAGGTTTAAAATGAATTTTTAAAAATGAAAAATCTTTCTAGAAGCTTTCATTTTAATTTTAATTTCAAGCTGATAGATTAAATTTAATATTTCCAATAAGCAAAATATTTTGCTGTATTTTAAAACTAATTTGACTGGAAATAGTTTTTTTTTTTTTTTTGTTGCTAAAATAGCTGATGAGCACCATTTTTTTAGTTGTCTTTCATAGCAATGTAATTCTCTTTAATAAAAAATCTTACAAAAAATTAAATGTACTTTTCTGAAACTTTATTTGAGGAATACAAGCTAATTTAAAGTATAATTAATCTGATTTGAAACAAATATTATTTACTTTAAATTTAAAATATTGCAGAAATGCATTTTTTAACCAGACAGTAGCTGTGTTTTTAACTCAACAGTATATGTATTGATGTTTGACAAAGTGATTACAGATGTAATGTTGTTCTACAGAGACTTAATCTGTAAAACAAAATGACACATTGACAAAGACCTGGATGTGAACAAATTGTAGAGAGGCCCATATTTGGATGTGTCAAGCTGTTCTGTTGCTAAAGGGGAAAACCAGTGGTAACAGCTTTTGACAGACATCTTTACATGTAACTCTGGTCCTTTTTTTGCATCTGTACAGGCACACATTTGTGTTATCTTTCTATTCCCTTTCCTCTATAAGCAAGTCTCATTCTTAACCCTTTTTAGCCCTGAATAATCGAGGAACAAGATAATTTGTTTCAAGTAAAACACCTTAATTTTTTAAAACAAAAATACAAACAAAGCACAATTTCTTTCACTGTAATATTTCTTGTTTTCATTTTCATACACTACATTCTCCTACATGAACAAGTTAGTCAACATATTTTTTATTCATCAAATCTATATAGAAGCAGTTTTATCTGTTAAGCAATTGATATCAATATATGAATAATTACATAATCGATTTATTGAGATATTTTTCTGTTTCAGACATTGTTGAGAAAAACCCTCATGCCGAATGTCAAAAATTAGCTGCTCAAACATTGATGATTTTGCAAAACATTGTCCAGAAGGTGAGTGAAAATTAAAAAGTCATTTTCAAATTAGGAGTATCAAATCCTGGGTATGGTGATAAACTACAAACAGCAGCAACCTGATTAGAAGATTGGAGGTTTTGAGGAGTGTGGAATCACCTCTTAATTGCTGTTGTTCCCAGGTCTAAAAGTATAAAAATGCATTTTTCTAGTAAAAAGTACCAGCAATTTTTATATAAAATTGACCAACAATACATATTAAAAGCAAAATGACGAACAATACATTTTATCTGTAGTTGAAAGCATACAATTGCATTCAAAATATATTTAGTTGAAGCCATAAAATTGTGTTCAAATTTAGATTTTGGCATTAAATAACCCATAGAGGTGTTGATATGCTGCTAAACAAAATCAACCAAGCAGTCAAGAATTAGGAGTATCAAATTCATAGGAAGTTGTAATTAAGTTGATTTTCAAGGAATTTTCCTAAAATCTAATAATGAACATGTTCTTAAATCACATAGTTTTACTTTTGCCATTAAGAAATTATCCTGTATTAAGTTGGGTCATTTAAAGAGTTATTGAGAGTGGGGAAAAAAAAAAACAAAATGTTGAGAGTAGACATTAACAGACCAGAATTAAAGGAGAAAGAAGATGACAATTGACACTGCATTTAAATTTTTCAAGTTCATAGTTGACAGGAAAGCAAGAAGCCAGAAGAGTGTTTCATAAGTGAGAAGTGCAAGTGAAGTAACCATTAGCATAGAACTTATATTTACACTTAGTAATTTCAACCTTAACAGCTAGGTCTCATAATTTCAATCCAGTACTGTGCTTAAATTTGTGTAGGATACCAAAGAAAAAAGTTCATCAGAAGAATTACCATGAAAATTTTTATAGGAAAAGCATAGGCAAGTTATGTTGTCATGGTGGGGAAGTGATTGAAGCTGAGATGCCAGATCAGGATCAATGACATTGCAAATTTTTCTTTGGAATTTGTCAAGTATCTCTAGATACGTAGCAGAAGCAACAGACAAGAAACAGCAATATTTAATCTGCAGACGAACGATAGATTTATAAATGTGCAAAATAGATTCTGGCAAGAAATATTGACACAGTAACCAACTTTCCTCACAGCGCAGACCCTCTAAAAATAAATACAATATAATCATTCTAGTTCAGTGGAAAATGTTAGCCTAACAAGGTGCAATACGTTACTCTCCTGGATTTTGGTATTAGCCATGTTGATGGAAGAAGACTAAAAAGGTGATATGATTAAAAGGGAGCATTCATTTTGGAGGAGGGGGAATTAAAAAGCCATCAATTCAATAATAAAATTATAAAGAAAACCTGTAGTTGTAAAGAAAAGAAAAAAAAAGACTGTTAACTTATAGTAGCAATAAACGTCTGCAATAGATTTCTTCTGTCTCTCAACCGCAACAATTGTTGCCAAATCACAGTTGAAACGATAGTCTGATAGTCCGTCATAACAGTCCAACAGACGACATAGAAATGACAAAATGGGGTCACACATTCAATCTTCACTTCTCACCAGCAAAAACGTGTGTTCGTCCACCAAGCTCAGAAAATCCAATCTGCCATATTAGCGAAAAACAACAGCTTTTGTTCACCAAGAGATCTTTCTGATTGGTCACGCCATTCAGGGGAAGGAAGAACATTAGCATAGATTCTGGTCCTTAAAGTAGATTTTTGCTAACTACTTTTTGGTAATTTTTTCTTCAGCAGATTGCACACAAAACACAAACTCTTTTTCAAGGTAGCTGATTATCTCTTTCACTACAAAATCATAATGAGCAAACATAATTTAAAAGCACTAAAACCTTTGATTAAAAAAATTTTAAAAAATGCAATATAAAGCATTTAATCTGAGAAGAGCACAAACAAAACAGAGAAAAAAAAGCAACATTTTTAATGAACTGGTTTATAAATAAATCTGTGTTGATTTAGATTACTGTATTAGATTGTATATAAGTGTTGTATGGGAGAATATTTCCCTACAAGTTTAGACTCGGCCGTCAGACAAAAAACATAAAAATACTCCTACATCAAGAGGAGTAGCAGCAGCAGCTTTTGCTGAAAAAAGTCATTCATGGTTAAACATTCTCTTCCCTAGTTTCTATTCTACATTATGTTTCCCTGTACCAAAAGGTAATAGACTTGTTGTTAGACCAATTCTTGTTTTCTACTGTTTTTTTTTTTTTGATAACTCAGTTACCACAATAAGACACCCACTTCTTACCATCAAAAACTGGCTCAAAAGTATCCCCAAGGTCTTAGATACAAAGTTGAGTTAGCTAGATTGCTAATGTTTACCCAAATACAATAGGCTGTGGGAACATTGTTATTATTATTATTATAAATAAAAATAAAATATAAAATAATAATAATGATGAAAATTATAAATAAAATAAAATTTAAACTTCGTTTAAAATAAATAAATAAAAAATAAAAATAATAAAATAACTCCCAGCATGCAACAGGGACTGTTCCTGTCGGAAATATGAACATCCCGCCTAGAGACGTGAGTTTCAACCTCTTTCCTCAAAAACTGTTAGGGTGACAGTATGTGTATAACTTCCCTCCATGATAGGACTTGTGATATTATAAAGTGACTTACATCCTTTTATAACATGAACATTATCACAGTTGTAATGTAAAACACACACACAAATACATAAATAAAATTGTATGAAATTACCATACAATTTACCATGTTTTTTTTTTAGTTATTGTGTACATTTGTTTGTATGGCTTAAAACCCAATTTTTATGACCACATGCTGTGAATGAATATATCTCAATAACTTTATGGAGACCACTGACGTGTACAAGAAAAACATACAAATACCTCCACAAGACTACCAGTACTTGTACCAAACCTAATTCCATAATTCTATAATATTAAACATAAATGGATGCCATCAAATATTTTTTAACAAAAGTCAGATCTTTACACATGTTAGAAACAAATAATCTTTAAGAATTTCCAACATGAAACCTTAAATGTGTAACACACAATTTGAAATTGTTATGAAATTATCTTCACTTACAAAATAATTGATTTTCTTTAAATCTACTGTTTATTTTTATTTTTTTCAGGAATTCTCCTGATCTAAATGGATATCTTGTGTTTTGAACATAAAAAAGAAGATTGGATCAAGTTTGTGACCAGAAATTCTAAAAGTGATGTCTTACCATTGAAACTGCCTGCATAAGATGAAAAGAACCAGACAGAAAGTCTTTCAGAAATGAACATCTCCACTTGCAGAATTACACAGACCGGTGCTATTTCCCAAACTTTGCAGCTTATGGCCAAATCACGTTGAAAAACCACTTCCCATACAAACATCAAAGTTAAGCAACGTCAAACCTGGTCAGTACCTAGATGGGTGACTGCTTAGGAATACCAGTTGCTGTAAGTTTAGATGTGTAGGTGGTGTGATGAATAATGGCTCAGAATTGTTAATTGGATAGTCAAGTTCCAATTTCAATTGGGTTCATTATATTCACTTACATGCAAATACCCTTGGGGAAAGACATGAATCCGTCTCTTCTTCCCCCAGCTATGGGTTAATTAGTAAAACTTGTATCACTGAAACTATTATTATATCAAAATAAAATTAGCATACAAAATGTAAAGATTTCTGCATTAAATAACCTATAGAAGTTGAAATGCCGCTAAACAAACACAGCCAACCAACTAACCCAAACTTTACTGCTGTTACAAGTATAATCTTGCTTACTCTCTCTCTCTCTCTCTCTATATATATATATATATATATATATATATATATATATAATCATCCACAGACACTGTTTCGCTGTATCACAGCAAATCAGTGTGTCTAGACATCCAGCCAGGATTGAAACCCAACTGATTTGGCATCAGTCAGATATTTCTCTCCTAAGTTATCAGCTCCCAGCAGAGAGGAAGGTGAATTTTTATGTATTTATTTTTGAATAAACACACCAGTGACTCAGAGTGCTCGATTCATAGAAGAGCATTGCATTATCAGCAGTAGCAGTCACCGTTATATAAAAACAGTAATAAAAAGTCCCTAATTTAAAATCGTACAATACCAAACAGCTGTAATACATATATAGATAAGACAAATTAGCACAGAGATGGACAGGTCTGAAATCAGGAGGTGATAACCTGAGGTAATTAGTTTGATTTATGATACCCACTTATCCTCAGAAATACAAAGTAATTTTCGTCACACACAGTTTTGTTTTTCTTTCATTTAAACTGAAGAAGCCAATATTTTCCGCTTTGTCTTCACTTTTGTTTTGGATACTTTTATACAAACACACAAAGTTAAAGAGTGTATTGCCTGCAGAGAGGTGTTGAAGTATCACTGAAACAGGTCTCCAAATGGTATGTACGAAAATGATGCCAATACTTGTCACTTTGGTGTACGCCTACTTGCAGCTGTGAAGGGTGTAATATTTTCAAGATCATCAATGATGACATATGACATTTTTTTTCTTTTGTTCACACAATTTCTTTGGATACTTCTAAAAATAATTTATTGTTATTGACGTCTTTCATCAAAGAACAAGAGACAGCCGACTTCTTTATTAAGAGTAACTTGATTAATCAAGGTGAAGACTTTGACTTTTCGGCACTCAGACCACTTTTTCCTTTTGCTTTTTTACTTATTGTCATTCAACAACTTTCTTCAAGTGTTTGTCATAAAAAATGCTTGAAGAAGGCAGTCGAATGGATTAACTGAATGTAATGATATTAATTACTACATTCAGGGTTCATTTGTCAGAAAAAAGCTTGTAATGTTAATGACTCTTTTATAAAGATATCGACACGCACACACATTTATAAATAAATAATAATAAGAAGAAAAAACTTAATTAGTTAAGATATAATAATTCGTTATAAATTTATTTCAGCAGTTATATATATATATATATATATATATATATATATATATATATTAAGAAATGGACAAGGTCCGACAATTTATTTATTAAAGACATTTTTTATGTTTAACGTTGTTATTTATAGATACAAGTATTTAAGCAAATGCTCTGTTTATGATAAACAGTATTAAATAACATTTACCGGCCTGAATGTCCGAGAAATTTTCATAGAAAATATTCGTTCTTTGACAGGATTCGAACCTGCATCCTATACGGAACCATCATTTACGGCTGACGTGCCTTACCTCTGGGCTACAAAGAACCTTTCGGTAGACAAGGTGAATTTACTGCTTATAAATTCAGGCCGGTAAATGTTATTTAATACTGTTTATCATAAACAGAGCATTTGCTTAAATACTTGTATCTATAAATAACAACGTTAAACATAAAAAATGTCTTTAATATATATATATATATATAATGAAATGGACAGAGTAGGACAATTATTTTAAGATATTTTTATGTTTATACATTCTTTTTTATAGATACAAATATTTAAGTAAAAGTAAAAGCACATAACTGTACTGTCCAATCAAATCCTGAAACCACTTATTTAATTTTGGATCCTTTTTTTTTTTTTTACTGATTTGTACATACGTACCTATATACACATGTACACACAGTTTCTATCTTTGTCAATGCATTTAATTCAGTAATTAATATTAATTACAAAGATTAAACATTATACAGTAAAAAATTCAGTATATAACTGTATAGCAGACTGCAGATTTATTGATCCTACCTATATATATATATATATATATATATATATACATGCATGCGTACATACATACATACACACACACACACACACATATATATATATATATATATATAGTCTTAAGATGTGCTATATTTATGGGATAAAGTGTTCAATATCAGAGATAGAGCGTGTGTAAATATAAAAGTGAACATGGAAGTCATCACTTAGCATGAAACAGACTGCTGCCTCTAAGTGTTGACTTTTATGTTCACTTTTTATATATATATATATATATATATATAACTCCGGTCCGATGAGGCAGTTGTCTGTCTGAAATAAATTATTACTAAACTCTTTAATGATGTATTGAGTTTTTTTTGATATTTTATATATATTTATATATATATATATATATATATATATATATATATATATATATATATATATATATATATAATAATGCAAATATAAAATTTGTCACTTAGCAGATTGATATTACCTTCAGTATCCCATTTCTAGTGCTTCATAACTGGACCCTCCAGCAATCGCACCAACCACTCATCAAGGGATATCAGTAATATTATTGTTTATAGTGTGTGTGTAAAAATTTAGATATAAATAAAATATCTTTGTAAAAAGACAATATGAATAAAGACAAAAGGAAAATTTTTCTTTACCAACACATTTCATCCCCTGGTGAACTTTATCAAGGTAAATGCAAGGAATTTATTTTGCAAAATGTATTTAGGAACAAGTAAATTAAAGAAAAATATTGTTAACTATTAAAAATTTTAAATTTAGGAATCCTCTAAAACATTCTTAAATCTGTGTAAGTAAAAGTTATCTATGGGGGACACTATGTGATGTAATCTAATGCCTTAATAAACAAGTGAGTAAATTTTGTTCTTGAATTTTGTATTTGTTTATATTTATTTATTTTTTAATGTAATTATTATTTTATTTTAATTTGATAAATTATTTATGTATTTATTTATTTTAAATGATGGAATGTAGTGAGTTAATGTTATACCGGAACATACCTATTCTATTGTAAATAGACTCTCCCAGATATAATAAGTAGTAGTAGTAGCAGTCACGGGGCTCAGAGTGGAGTTGGTGTGTCAGTCGATGTCGGACATTAAGGTATCAATCACCACAACTAGATTGCTGCGTCTTTAACAAGTTCCTAACGTTTTGTACGTCGAACCTATTTTAGGACTGACTTAGTGAAATACAAGCCTCCACTGTGAAAACTACTCTACAACACATTGGCTATGAGGGATTCATAATTTATATGGAAGAAAAATTTTTTGTTCACTCTATAACAACTTTGGCGACCAGGATTCTAAATTCATACGAAAAAAAAATTTTAAAGAAAAAAATAAAAATATTCATTTCGCCATATACAACACTTGGCGACAAACGTATTTTGGATTCATACAAAAAAAAAAAAAAAAACTTTTCATTCACTCTACAACACTTGCCAATGTGGATTCGTAACTCATACGAAAAAAAAAAATTTCACCCGCCATAACAAACGTGGCGTACGAGGGAGTCGTTTTTATACAGTGAAAGAAAAAAAAAAAAATTTGCTTGCATTATTGATGAAATTCGTTTTTCATACGGAGGAAAAAGAGAAAAAAAAACTTGCTCATCAAATTTTCAGTGACAACATCTTGGATTCACATTTAAAAAAAAAAAAAATTCGCAAAGTTTTCGAAAGGCAAGATGTCAACTTAGTGATGAAAAAATCAGTCATATTCTCAACTGAGAAAAGAATTTTTTTTTTCTCGATAAGACATTTTGCTCAAATAGGTCATGAATTGCAAATTCGTTTTGGACCCCCCTCTACAATATTTAAGGATTGTGTAAACTTTTTGCAAAGATGGAGGAATGCAAAAATATATTCCAGGATTTTTTTAAGTTCCAGACAACAACAAATGACAATATTAGGGCAACAGAAAACATTCCAGATGCAACTACAGGAGGAAACTTTTAATAGACAGATGCAGTTTCAACGAGAAATGGAACAAATGCATAAGGAGTTTCAAAACAAAATTCTGGAAATAATTGAGAAGAGGAAAGAGAAAAATCTACAAAATGTTTCTTTCCCAGAGAATACAATATGGAATTCAATTGAAATATTCATGTACAGTCCAGACGAAGAGATAATTTTTGAAGAGTATTATAAAAAAATATACGGACATGTATAACAAGGACTGCCACACATGGTCTAAAGGAAAGAAGGTTAGATTTCTTTTAAGCAAGTTAGGAGCTGCTGAGTATAACAAATTGGTAAACTACATTTTACCAAAAAAAACTAGCAAGTTGACATTTACCGAGGTGGTAAATATATTAAGTGAATTATTTAGAAAAAAGACATCTTTGTTTCACAAGAGGTGGAAATGTTTGAATCTGATGAAAGATTAAGAACAAGTCTATATAACGTATGCAGCCAATGTGAACAAGC